ATGTTGATCTATCTAACATCAATTTGATAGGGGAATTTCCAAATTGGTTGTTGGAGAACAACACAAAATTAAATGCATTAGTTCTCGCCAACAACTCTCTCCTGGGACCATTTCAGTTACCTTTCCTTTCACATACGAATTTAGTGAGTTTGGATATCTCCAAAAATTCCTTCTATGGCAACATTCCAAATGAAATTGGAGCAAAACTACCATCATTATGGTTCCTGAACATGTCAAAAAATATTTTTGGCGCTAGCATTCCAGTTTGAATCGGAGATATGAAATCTCTACGAACCTTGGACTTGTCTAACAACAAATTGAGTGGAGGATTACCGGAGCACTTGGCAAAAGGCTGCTCCTCATTAAGCGTTCTTATTGTCAAACAACATATTGCATGGCCAGCCGTTCTCTTCAAATTTTAACTTGACAAACTTGACGGACTTGCAATTGGATGGGAATCTCTTCTCTGGAAGGATCCCAGATTGTTTGTCTAATTGCTTCTCGTTGACAACATTGGATCTTAGCAATAACCAACTTTTTGGTGATATACCAAGGTGGATGGGGAATATGAGTTTGGAAGAAATTGTCATGGCAAAAAATCATCTTGAAGGTCCAATCCCCGAGGAGTTTTGCCAGCTCAATCTTAAACTTCTGGACCTTTCAGTGAACAATATCTCTGGGAATCTACCGTCTTGCTTCAGCCAATTACATTTCAGTCAAATCCATTTATCAAGAAACAAGCTACACAGGCCACTCATAAATGCATTTCGTAACAGCACTACATTGGCGACATTAGATCTCAGCCATAACCACTTGACTGGAAACATTCCAAATTGGATCGGCAGTCTTTCTCAGTTGAGATTTCTTCTCCTAAATAACAACCACTTTGAAGGTGGGACTCCGGTTCAGTTATGCAACTTGAGCCACCTAAGCTTGATTGATCTTTCTAATAACCATCTTTCTGGTACAATTCCTCCTTGCCTGAAGATTACAACACTAAATTATTTATCCCAATATCTTGTCCGTTATATCCTTGTTACTAATTCAAATAGTTCGAGTTCTTTCTCCATTGAAGAGCAAATAGAGTTCACTACAAAAAACATATCTTACTCTTATAAGGGAAAAGTCCTCACTTACCTGTCTGGAATTGATCTCTCTTGCAACAAGTTGATTGGAGAGATTCCCCACACAGTCAAAAACATCCAAAGAGTCAAATATTTTGAATTTGTCTTTCAACAGTTTGACAGGACCAATCCCTCCAGCGATTTCTGAACTCAAGAAAATTGAGTCTCGATCTTTCTCACAACAACTTGAGCGGAAAAATCCCTCCTCAACTTGTGGGTTTAAATTTCTTGTCTTTTTTCAGTGTGGCATACAACAATTTATCTGGAAGAACTCCTGAGAGGACTGCGCAATTTGCAACATTTGATGAAAGTAGCTACCTGGGAAATCCTTTTCTTTGCGGCGCACCATTGCCAAACTGCTCAACAGGACCATCATCATCAATGCCATGGGCTTCAACTGACAATGGTTCAATTGACATGAATGTCTTTTATGTAAGTTTTGTTGTCTTACTTCATGGTGCTACTGAGTATAGCCTGTGCTGTACATTAATCCCTATTGGAGAAGAGCATGGTTCTATCATATAGAAGCTTGCATCACCTCCTGCTACTATTTTGTGGTAGACAATATTCTTCCTAAACAATTCCATTGTGGAAATATGTAACCGAGACATGTTCAGTTGTTCACCTTTCCTCTTTGTTAATGATTCTTTACTTAATCTATTGGTTTGTCATAAAGGATTCTATGGTAACTGAAAAGCAAACAGGTTTAGGTGATATATCCAAGACATAAATTTTGTGTATTAGTCACCACCATAAGGGCAAAACTACATCAAACAGGATATGTTTTGATCGAGAAACGTTACATCCCAACACCAAATAACAACCTGACTGATGACTGCAACCCAGTTGACCCGATCAAACCCAACAACCAAAATTGCCCACCAAAATACCCGTTTAGCCCAAGAAGACTATCCAATCAATCTAGAATCAAGCGCATATCCAACCAATGGAAATTCAGTTTAAAACATTATTTTCTCCATAAAAATGTAAACAAGCATATGATATATATATATATATCATAGTAAATGAATTAAGTTTGTAGATTCTGCAGCATGAAACAATATGATGTTTGATTAGTTTAACATCTTTAGGGCAAGATGAAGTGATGAATTTATAATGCAACATACGAATTGGAAGCCAAGAAACATAAATAGAAACAATAAAACAGATACAATTTCTAATGATCAAAATTTTACATCCCCCATAGATAAGTTACTGGAATAATAGGCGATCAAAATAGGAAGAATTTCATCCCCGAACACATTTGATAGAACATCATGAGCTGCTCCACTGCATTTTCATAAGTTCCATATGTTGAATGAGTCATCATCCTGTACCAAAATAATTATTTAGGATAAAGTCTCACTAGAAAACACTTCTTTCTAAAACTAACAGAATAGAACTTAACTATGTTAGTTCACTCTGATTGACTGGCAAAGAAAAAAAATACTTGCATCATCTTCTGCATCATCAGAACCAGGAAATCACGACATATGGAATCAAGGTTTTAGATCTTGAAGAGGAAATATAATGAGAGAATCTATTAGAAACCACATACAGCAAAATAAAATGCTAACATGAGACAAATTTCACAAAAGTAGGAGCACAATGTCAAAAAAAAATTACAATAACCTGATGCATGTCTAGAAGAGACTTATCTTCCTACAAAAATGAATTGACGTCAAATAAATTATCAATTATAATCGCCAATTCAGATAACCTCAAAGCAGAAGTTGAAAAGACATAACCTCAGCATCAACAAGTGACTTATTGGTCATCAGCATAAACCATGTTTGACAACAAAATCTACAAAAAAAAAAAAAAGTAACAGATGAAATTAAGAACATAGATGTTATAAATGGCTCTAAAGAAAAAAGAAAAAAAGAAACTAACAAGATAGAACTCAGCTAAGTATTAGCATACTGAATTAGACATGGTAGATATTCTCTCAAAGTCTCACGTAGTAACCGTGCATCAGAGTATGCAGACCTGCCAATCAAGCTCAACATTGATTCTTAAACATTAGATCGGGGGAAGGGGGAGACTAGTAAAGTTAAATGCATGGCCTTCATTCCTTTCTATGCCTAGATTCAAGAAAATGAATCTACATTTTTAACAGAAAGGACTAAGAATATGATGGGTATATAATTAAAATTCTTCATAACTACGGTTCGATAGCACAAAGAGGCAGAGGCAGAGGGGCAAGCACACCTCCAACACTTCTGACATATTTAACAAACATTTTATGTGATCGAGCAAAGGTGACTAGGAAAAAAAAATGGTTAAGTCAAAGAATATTGCATATTACCAAAACTATTAGTTTGAAGCATGTCAATTGCAATAAGCTTATGTAAAAAAATATGTTTTTAAAAGACATCTGAATCTACATATAAGACATTCAGACATGTAATACACAAAGAAGAAAGTTACCAAAATTCACATGCTTCAAGTGCCACTTCATCATTCATCAATGTCCTTATTCACTCACAACATATATTCAATTACATTCTTCAAATGTGATTTTCAAATAATTAAAAATCACATCACAGAAAAGAAAATGAAGGTTCTCAATAAGGAAAAAAAGACACAAAAGTATGACATTGAGACTAAAAGACATGAGTATACAAATATTGCTTTAAAAGACATCTTAATCTAAATAGAAGACATTAAGACATGGAATGCACAAAGAAGAAGAAAGTTACCAAAATTCACATGCTTCACGGGCCACATCATTCATCAATGCCTTTATTGACTTGCAACATATATTCACTTACATTCTTCAAGTGTGGCTGTCAAATAGTTAAAAATCACATCACAGAAAAGAAAAAGAAGGTTGTAGATACACATAAAAAAAAACAAGAGCATGACATAGATGCTAAAAGAAGTGACACTTCACATTACTAAAAGAGTTGAAATAAAAAAAAAAGAAAAAGGAATATAAGAAAACTAAAATGTAACAAACAAAAAATACCCACCTCCAGAAAAGATGGGCGGACTTCAATTAGCTGACCAAATGCTGCACAAGCCTGATCATTAGGCAAAAAACATTGATCTAAAAATGCTCAAGCTTAAAAAAAATGATATGACTTCAATAATTCATTCACTAAAACAAAATACTAAAAATTTTGTAGGAGACGGAAACAGGTATCATTGTAGTATTCTACTTAATACATATATTAGCAGTGTCCAGCGAGTTTATAATCTCGTGATAGAAAAAAACCTAGAACCATTAACATCAACGACTAGATAAAAAATATGTTTAATTCAAATGAATTAAACAATTGCTGAAATATATAAGGATTTAATCCAAAATACAGCAAGTAGTGTAGCAAGTTTATAACAACCTCTTCAAGCACTGCAAAAGCCAAACAAGTAGCCTCTTGCACCCACTTGTTAGCATCCAATATTCTCAGCACGAGACCCATAAGAGCCATATGTAATCAATAGGACACCAAACAGCTCAACAAAAAAAGGAAAAATTTTTATGTAACTCTTGTTAAAAGTCAACAGAAACAGTTCTTTTCATAGTATTCTAGTTAATACATATACTAGCAATTCCCAGCAATTTTTTGGTCTCGTGACAGAAAAAACCCAAGAACCATTAACGTCAAGGACTAGATAAAAAAAAATGTCTAATTCTAATACTACATCTTCTAAATCAATCCCAAAACCGGAAAATCAGAAATGAAAAATGACTCATACCAAGCTTTTATAGACTTGCAGTTATAGGAAATTACAAGCAAAATTAGGAAATGCTTACACCAGATTTGAGCATCCCAAGCAAAAGACAGAATTATAATTAAAAACAAGAGTACAAGAAGAAAAAAAAAAAAAGCTATTGACCAATTTCAGCACTTCTGCAGAAAGGTCATTTGCAAGGACAAACAAACTCGGAAGGTATTTATCCATGGATGTACACCAAGCCTTCAAGAAATTAATGTATAATATCAAAATGTATGAGAATGGCATCCATTAAAAGGAAGAATATAAACCTTAATTTATTGGTTTACAGAACCCAATTAAAGCTTTCTCAGGGATGCATGTAGAGACTGGAAAACTGCATATTGAAAAGAAACATAATTAGCAACTTTTTTTTGTTTTTTCAGATATTAGTAACTTATGTTTTGATAAAGCAGCATACCAAAAACGATAACAACTTACAGTGCAGGGTTTCATAAGTCATAATTGCAACACTAAAAAGAGCTTATTATAATGTAAAGGCCAGCAAAAAACAGCTGATGTTTGCCAAAAGCGCGCACATGAACTAGTGTACACAATTATTTCCAAACTTGGTGCAACCTCTTTGGTACCCTCCTGCAAATGAACAAAACAATTGTTGAAATGTATAAGAATTTAATCCGAATTATAGCAAGTTGTTACCCAAAATCAAACCAGAAAAAAAATATATATATATATACACTAAACTAGTTACTAAGTAAACAAATGGAATGAGTAAAAAAAAAATCAAACATCGGCTCGAACAAGCACCAAAACGATATATTTGTTGAAATTATAGAAACTGTTGCCAAATCTGAGACTTACGTATGCCGAAGAAGAAGGCAAAATCTGCTGCTCCAGTACTCTGCAGGAGTCATCCAACCCCTACGAAAAAAAATTCTGGGTTTTTTGGTTGATTGGTTTTTTTGGAAGATTTTAGGTTGGAACAGGTTCTTTAAGTCGAGCAGAGTATATGGATTCAAAGAGGAAAAAATTATGGGTTTTTTGAAAGACTTTGGGTTGAGACAAGTTCTGGAGATGTATTAAAAGAGGAAATTTTTTAAGTTTTTGGATTAATGTTTGGAAGTGTTTGGCTATGGATTTTTTTTTTTTTTTGAGGTTTATGAAAATGAAGAGAGAAATCACAGCCCAATCCAGCTTTTGCTCTCAAATTTCAATAATTTTTTGTGGGAGGGGAAAATTTGGAGATCTTTGGGTTTGGGTTGACTGGATATAAATAACTATATAATAAACCGACAAAACCGATTTAAATTATATTTTTGTCTTCAAGATCAGTAAAACAATTTTTTTGCCGTCATTTTGAGCTTCTAGCTCAGTTGGCCCAAAATGAACTCATTCCTTACCATAAACAGATCTATACTTTGGGCCATAAGTTGCAGTTTGGAATTATTGGATTGCATTTAGATGAAATAATTAAATTGTTGTCTCTATCGTCGAAATTTGAATATGAAAAAAAAAGAAAAGAAATAATTAAAAATTTTCTTTCCATAATTCTACTCCAAATTTGAATATAAATCAAATAGATAAAATAAAAGTGCTGAGAACATGTGGCAGATAATTATAAAAGGAGAAAAATTTTGTAAGTAAATTTCAAGTAAACAAGATAAACTTTTCATTGTAAAAAAAATAATCAGCAAATCATGAAAGTTTAGAAAGCACAAATGAACAAACTAAAATTGAAAAAATAAAATTAACCTAAATTGTTAATATGTAGAGAACAAACCCTGAAGGAATTTTTCCATGGATGTACATAAAGCCTACAAGAAATTAATGTATAATATCAAAAAGTATAGGAGTGACATCCCTTACAATTAAGAATACAAACTTTAATGTATTGGTTTACAGAAGAACACAATGAAAGATTTCCCACAGAAGCATGCGGGGACTGAAAGAAAAGACTGCTCATAGAAAAGAAACATATTAGAAATACGAAATAAAAAAATAAAATATAAAAAGATAACAACCCACAGGGCTGAGTCTCATAAGTCATAATTGCAACGCTGAAAAGAACTTATCATAATAAAAGGCCAGAAAACAACCCGATATTTGCCAAGAGCACACATGAAGTACGGAAGAATTTCATCCCAAACACATTTGATAGAACATCTGCAGTGCATTTTCATAAGTTCCACATGTTGAATGAGTCATCATCAATCCATCCTGTACCAAAATTACTGTTTAGGGTAAAGCACCTTATGTTTTGATAAAGCAGCATAAGAAATAAAAAAAAAAGTAACAACCCACAATGCTGGGTTTTCATAAGTCATAAGTTCATCGAGCTTAGTCTAAGGTAAAGGCAAGCAAAAAAACTTGATATTTGTCAAAACCTCGCAAAGGTACTGTACAACTATTCCCAACCTTGGTGCAACCTCTTCGGCAGCCTCCTGCAAATGATTAAAACAATTATTGATATCTATAAAAATTTAATCCAAAATACAGCAAGTGTGGACCAAGTTTATAACCTCTTCAAACAGCTTCCTGCACCCGCTTGTTAGTATCAAAAATTCTTCGCAGGAGATCCATAAGAGCTGTGTCAAAAACCTTTCCAATGATCACTATCCTAATATAAAGGAAACATGAGAGTTATCAACCACAATATCCAATCAAGACAACAAAAATGCATACATCACCTTCTGCATCATTAGAACCATGAAAACGAATGGAATGAATAAATCCAAGCAGAAAAGAAAATCCGACTGGAAACAAATGGAATGAATAAAAAAAATCAACCTCGGCTCGACAAAAACGATATATTTGTTGAAATCCGAGAACCGAGAGAAGCTGTTGCCAAATCTGAGACTTATATCTGCCGAAAAAGAAGGCGAAATCTGCTGCTCAAGTCCGCAGATCCCATCCAACGTTCTTATCTTCAAGATCGGTAAAACAATTCCTAAGACCTTATTATTAGCTTCTGGCTCAGTCGGCCCAAAATAAACTCTTTTCTGACAGCAAAGCAGACCTATCCTTGGGACCACAAGTTGGACTTTGGAATTATTGGATTGGATTTAGATAAAATAATTAACATTTTGTCTCCGTCGATCGAAAGTTGAATACGAAGAAAAAAAATTTAATATTTTGCTCTTCATAATCCTAATTAAATTTTGATTAAAAATCAAATACAAAAAAGAAGTGTTAAGAACACGTGGCACATGATTATAAAGGAGAAAAATTTTTGCAAATAAATTTAAAGTAAACAAGATAAAATTTTCATTGCTAAAGAAAAAAAATCAGCCAATCATGAAGGATTAGAAAGCACAAATGAACAAACTAAAATTGAAAAATAAAATCAGCAAGAATTGTTAATTAGTAGAGAACAAAGCCTGAAGGAATTTATCCATGGATGTATATAAAGCCTGCAGGAAATTAATGTATAATATCAAAATGTATCAGAGTGATATCCCTTGCTATTAAGAATACAACGAAAGATTATTCACAGAAGCATGTGGAGATTGAAAAAAACTGCTCATAGAAAAGAAAAATAATTAGCAATTCAAAATAATAATAATAAAAAACACATACACACACAAGAGTATGACATACAGACTAAAAGAAGTGACACAACTAAAACAACTGAAATTAAAAAACAAATTTGAGAAAACTAAAATGTAACAGACAAAAGATACCCACCTCTAGAATAGATGGGCGGACATCAATTAGCTAACCAAATGCTACACAAACCAAATCATTTGGCAAAAAACATTGATCGAAATATACTCAAGCTTAAAAGAAACAAGATAGCTTCAACAATTCATCACAAACTCAAAATACTAAATTTTTTTTACCGGACAGAAGCAGTTGTTTTTGTAGTATTCTACTTAATACATATATTAGCAGGATCCAGTGAGTTTATAGCCTCGTGATAGAAAAACACTGGAACCATTAAAATCAAGGACTGGATAAAAAAAAAACACATGCTTAAATGAAATACAGCGTCTTCTAAATCAATGCTGAAACCAGAAAATCAGAAATCAAAAGTGACTCGTACAAAGCTTTTTCAGACTTCCAAGATAACTATTTCCTCCAATAAAGTTTCATGCACAAATGCGGCAGAAGTTTGGCATTAACAGCAATAACCTTTGTGATTCAAACTAGCATATCTATATCATAGCAAATGAATTAACTTTGTAGATTCTACAGCATGAAGCAATCTGATATTCTCATATTCACCATGGAACACACTGATTTAATATCTTTTGGGCAAGATGAAGTGATGAACTTATGATGAAACATGCCTATTGGATGCACAGAAACAAAAATAAATAAATAAATAAAACACAAAGAATTTCCACGATATAACTTTCACATCCCCAATAGGTAACTTACCTGAATAATGGGCATCAAAGTAGGAAAAATTTCAACCCCAAACACATTTGATAGAACATCAAGAGATGCTGCACTGCATTTTCGTAAGTTCCATATGTTGAAAGAATCATATTATAATATATTAATAAATATTATTTTAATAAATAATATATTAATTATTAGTAAATAATATATTAAAGATCATATTATAATATATTAATAAAAATAATATTATATTAATAAATATTATTATATTAATAATATTATATTATTAATAACAAATGGAGTCTAAAAGCCTTAACCAATTTCTCTTAACACATTTTGGTTTTCACATTTATAAACCAAAAACATTTTATTCAAACATGTTTTCAAATTCAATAAATTAAAAATAAAACGAAAATAAAATAAAACAAAACAAAATTTTTAAAAACATAAAACACACATCAATACCAAACGACCCTTATTATTAATTTTTCGAAATGTTTTTTGTTCATTCAGCCTTTGATAATGAACTGAAAAACTTATCACAAAAAAATTCTGTTGGCATGGTAAATTCATCATATTGCCAGGTAAAAAGCCCAAGATTTGAAGTAGCATCAATCTCAGGCCGTTGGAGGACAATTGATATCTAATGTTTGCAGCATTCTATTACAACACTTGATTTGTTATTTCTTACCAATTGATATACAAGCTGATTTTTTTTTTTTTGGTCAAGATATACAAGCTGAATTTATTACTTAGCTGCAAATAATTTAGAGATTGCTATTGCTTACCTGATTGATTTGTTATTTCTAGCTGCAACTTTCTCATTCTAATTTCTAGCTTAGAATAAATAGATTTTTGCACTGGATTGAGAAGCATAGACTCTAATGTTGTAGCATATATGATTGAGGATTGAGGATTTATTTTCAGCTTTTGCTTCCATTTCAT